CCAAGTCTTCTGTGAGGCGGCGCCTGCGCTGCCGGCCGGGGCAGAGCCGTGTTTGGGTTGATTTTGAACCATTTCTGGTGCATGCGTGGGTCAAAAATTTCTTGACCCTGTTGCATGTGTTGGGTGGGGGATTATTAAATGAGAAATTGGGGGTTTTTTGTTTTGTTTTTGGTTTTTTTTAATGCAAACTTTGCAGGTGAAGGGACCAGAGGATGCGAGCCTTTCTGAGGAGTTCGGAGGGGTGTTTTCAGCTGAAAGCGCACACCACGACGATCGGCAGGCACGGAGGGTCCGACATCGTCCTGCAGGTAGGGACCAGGAAGCCAACTGTAGGAAAGGGGATAGTGGTTGGGATGTTGGGAGCAGGATGTGCTGGGGATCTGTGTGCAAAGCATTGGGGTGAGTGGTTTGCTTACACCTGGATTTAGATGAGGAGAGGAGGGGCTCAGCAAATCAGTAAGAAAACCTGAGGTGCTCCCTGGCAGGTTTCCCTGCTTGCCTGGTGATTGCCTGGGCCAGTCCACAGGTGTAGCAGATCATCACGCAGCTCTCAGATTGGCCACCTCGGACAAGAGCTTCATCCTTCAGGACTTCAACTCTCCCTACGGCACCTTCGTCAATGGGTGTCAGATCCAAAACGCGGCTGTTAGAGTGAGTCCGGGGGACATCCTGCGCTTTGGAACACAAGGAACATCCTTCCAGCTGGTGGTAGATGGGGCTGCCCAGGTAAGGGTGGGTGCTGCTGCTCAGGGAAGGATGAGGTGCTGCTACCCAGGAAAAGGTGGATGGTGGTGCCCAGGGAAGTGGGGAGAGCTGCTCCCTGGGGAAGGATGAAGTGCTGCTGCCCAGGGAAGGTTGGATGGGGGTGCCTAGGGAAGGGTGGGCAGTGCTCCCCAGGGAGGGATGGGGTGCTGCTGCTCAGGGAAGAGTGGATGGGGCACCCAGGGAAGGGTGAGGTGCTGCTCCCTGGAGAAGGATGAGTTGCTGGTGCCCAGGAGATGATGGGCAGTGCTCCCCAGGGAGGGATGCTGGTTCCCAGGGAGCAGGCTCCCAGGCTCATCTTGTCGATCCTGGGGAAAGGTGAGGGGTTGGGGGGGAATGAAAAGCTGGAGCTCCCTCTGCTGAAGAGACTCGGGCAGTTCAGGAGGGAAAAGGCAAAGCACGGGACAGGTTTCCCAACAGCAAGGTGGACATGAGCAAAAGGAGGTCTGGGAAATGTCTGTTTCCTCTATTTGTAGCGAATGTTTCCTCAAAAGCTGCTTTCTGACAGAGAAGTTGGAGTTTGGATCAAACCTTCAGCAAACTCCAAGGTGCTGCCAGCCCTGACCGGCGCTGCGCTCGGCACCGCGGTGTCCGGCATGGCCAAGGCATTGTTGATGGGCCTTTCATGTGTGAGAAATCCAGAGCAATTGTAATCAGGGAATTAATTGGATTGAACATAGTGGAAGTCTCCTGTGTCTGGGGAAAAAAACAAACCAAAACTGTTTGGGGGTGTATATTGAGGTCATTGAGCTTTTGAGTTGTTAGTTGGGGAAGGATTGATGTGATCCGGTGTTATTTGGGTTATTTTGGCTCAGGAGGAATCCTGGAAAACAGATTCTGAGACAGAGTCCTGGAAAGGGGCGTGTTGTGTGCCTGGCAGTGAGAGCTGCAGAGCCCGGTCTCCTGGCAATACCCATCTGCAAATAAAACTTTGTTGGAGTCAGCCAGGTCACGCACCTAGATACTGAGTCTGGAGGTCTCAACAAGCTTCCTGGTGTAGCAAGCTGACCTGCTCAATCCAAAGTTGTCCAGAAAGCCACAGCGCAGAGAAAATAGAAAAAACCCCAGCTGCACGGTGAAGGTGGAGCAGCTGGGGGGCCAGTGCTGGTTTAGTAAAGGTTGTTTCTGCTGGAGCAGTGTTGTAGTGTAACCCAGCCAGCAACCAAACACCCCGCAGCCGCTCGCTCGCTCTCCCTCCTGCTCCAGGGAATAGGGGAGAGAATGGAAGGGGTAAGGAGACGCGTAGGTTGAGATACAAACAGTGTAATAATTGGAATAAAATAATTGTTAATGTAATAATGACAGTAGTAATAGTAATGATAATAATGGTATTGAGAGAAAGTACAAAGGAGTGGTGCACAGTGCAGTTGCTCACCACCCACCGACCAATGCCATCCCACTCCCAGACAGTGATCCCGGGGGAGAGAAGAATCCAAAACTGCAATTTTTGAAGAGCGAGAGAACGGGCAGTTCTGGGCAACTCTCACATTCTGAATGTGATGTGAAACAACATGGAATATCCCCTCAGTGTATTCAAATACCAATTGGATTCTATCACTCTCCTCCCAGCTGCTTCTGTACCCACAGACTAGCGAACCACGGGGAGGTGGAAGGTCCTTGATTTTCCAGCAGCAACTAGAAACATCAGTGTATTACCTGCATTCTTCTCATACCCAGTCCCATCCTGAATCCAAAGCACAGGGCTATTATAGCCACTGGGAGAAGTAGCTCTGTCCCAGCCGAAACCAGGACAAGCAGCGAGCGTTTTAATTTCCAGAAGTATAGGTGTGGGCTGTAGGCAGAAGAGCAGGGTGACACGGTGACGTGGAGGAAGCCCTCTGGGTGCCTGTTCATTGCTCGGGGCTCTGTGATCTTCCTTGGGTGGAACAGTTTTGATGCCTGACTCTGCTGATGGCAGAGAGTAAATGACTGCAGCGTGGCACCCCGTGAGGTGTTTGTGGTGTCTGATTTAGGGAGGGCTCTCATTTTCAGTAGGATTAGAGGGACGTGGTGTGAAGAGGAGCAACGCCCAGCTAGGAGCCACGTCCCTGCAGAGCTTCAGAGCACAGGGCAAGTGCCCAGGAAGGGACAGTGAATGCTGTGGTGGAATCCAGCCATGAGCAAACACCCAGGGCAGCACCCTCAGCAAAAGGGACGGGGCTTGGGTGTGCGATGGGAGAAGGCGAGGTGCTGGGTGGTGGGG